TCCAAAATGCTGCAGCTAGAGTTCTGATGAGAATTAAAAAGAGAGATCATATCTCTCCTGTCTTGGCTTCCCTACATTGGCTACCTGTTAAATTCAAAATAGATTTTAAGATCCTCCTTCTCACATACAAAGCTCTTAATAATCAAGCTCCATCATACATCAGTGATCTGATTGTTCCATACGTTCCTAACCGAGCACTTCGCTCTCAGACTGCAGGTCTACTGGTGGTTCCAAGAATATCTAAAATTAGGATGGGAGGCAGATCTTTTAGTTATCAGGCTCCTCTCCTGTGGAACCAGCTCCCAGCTTTAGTCCGTGAGGCAGACACCTTGTCTACATTTAAGAATGGACTTAAAACATTTTTATTTGATGGAGCCTATGGTTAAAATCTGATGTTAGCCTAAATCTGGACAAGTGGGGGAGTAGAGGGAGGTGGAGTGTACAGTCGGTAAAGACGGCTCTCCCTTGCCCTGACTCCAACATGCCTCCGTCTAAATAGGATAGATTATCCAGAGTTTTCTCTGTAGTTATGCTGCTAAAGGCTTAGACTGCTGGAGGATACACTGACCACTTTCCACACTCTACTACTTTCTTCTACTATCTGCTCTTTAACTATTATTTCCTGCTATTTCAGCTGTTGACTTTATTTTCTTTCTAAGTGTTTTTCTCCCCAGAAGAAGTTACAATGATGTTCTGCTGAGCTGTGGTGGCCTCATGGAGGGGGCCATCGACTAGCACACTGCTGCTAACCACTTAAACATTCTCTCTCTCCTGATAATAACTTTTTGCTTTCCTTGACGTTGGATGTGCTACTACTAGTTTACCCGTTTAATTAGAGATCAACTAGGATAAATACAATAAAGTTTATCTCACTAAATTGAATATTTACTAAGACATCCCAATAGAACTATAGACACATGTGTGTGTGTGTGTGCGCGTGCGTGTGTGTGTGCTCTGTCTTCTCCATCTCCAGTGAGTCGTGGAGGATGGCTGTTTATACTGAGCCAGGATTCTCTGGAGGTTTCTTCCTGTTAAAAGGGAGTTTTCCTCTCCACTGTCGCTGCATGCTTGCTTAGTATGAGGATTGCTGTATAGTCACTGACACTAGTCAGTGACTTGATGCAATTTGCTGGGTTCCTTATATAGGAAACATTATTTCTGATTGGCTTAATGAACTGTGAATTGAAATGTTTATTATGTGAAGTGCCTTGAGACGACTCTTGTCGTGATTTGGCGCTTTATAAATAAACTTGAATTGAATTGAATTGAATCCTGTAAATTTGTCTACAGCACCGTCTTTGCTGCTTCACAAAATAAAAAGATATCTAGCTGCAGACACGGAACAGATTGAAGAATGCATCACGGGAACAGTATAAAAATATGAACATTTATTCAAACAGTATAAAAATATGAACATTTATTCAGCCTTGACTGAAGGAGTACAAAGATATGCAGCAAGCATTTTAGTCATGAACAGAAAAGACGAGAAATGTTCGTTTAGAGATGCCGATCCCATGAAAAAGTGGAGAGGAATGAGGGACAAATTTGTCCTTGTTAAAAAGTCTCTGAAATATATTACAACAATGTTAACACAATAGTAAATACGCTATCGTGGACTGTATACTTAACTGTCATGGTAGCAGGATAGCTCCGAATAGCACTACACCCTCTGTTGTCCTGGTGGGGAATTTTCGGAGTTCTGAGGAGAAATCAAACACACCATTAGCTGGAAGCTAACATATCAAGCTAACGTTAGCTTAAACATTGTATTTATCTACTAGAGCAGATTAAGATGATGATGCCTCACTTAGATCATTGTTGCCTTTTTCATTTTCTCCCAGTTACCCCATTTAGTGAAGTGGACCCAAACTTCAGAACACTACCTGTCTGCCATGCGGCTTTGTTTACAGCTTGCCCCAATTGTTTTTGCTACAATCCCCAGCTGAAACTCCAAAAGGAATCTGCGTATATTCTGTACATACTTGAACACACTTGTCGAATGATTTGTGCAATAATCAGATTTTATTTTACTTCCACAAAATGCAAGTTCTGGATTAGATATTACAGAAAAGAGGACGGATTGCCTTCATATTTAAAAGCTGGTGCTTGTTAATTAGGCCGTCATTTTTAAGTCAGGTAGTCTAAATAACGATGAGGAGGCTTGCTAGCTGTTGCACACACATGCGTAGTGGGCAATATTGTACCCCAATAATCCGAATGACTGTGTAAATGCACGTCTATTGGAATATTTATCGGACAAAACCACCTCTCTCAATCAGATTAAAATTTCATTCTGATCGGGTCAGATCGGATCAGAACATTCCGAATGATATGTTTACATGCAGAATTTTTGATCTGATTCAACCCAAATTATTGTGCGCATGTGAACGTGGCTAATGTGTGCACATCTCTCTCTCGCGGAGCTGACTGAGAAGTATAAATTAGGCTTTAGACAAGGTATACAGGTGCTGGCCAGTAAATTAGAATATCATCAAAAGGTTGAAAATATTTCAGTAATTCCATTCAAAACGTGAAACTTGTACATTATATTCATGCAATGCACACAGACCAATGTATTTCCGATGTTTATTACGTTTAATTTTGATATTTATAGGTGACAACCAATGAAAACATCAAATCTGGTATCTCAGACAATTAGAATATTCTAAAGGCCAATGAAAAAATGTTTGTTTCTCTAATGTTGGCCAACTGAAAAGAATGAACATGAAAAGAATGTGCATGTATAGCGTATTGCATCCTCCGCTTCACAATACCCCATAGATTTTCTATGGGGTTAAGGTCAGGCGAGTTTGCTGGCCAATCAAGGACAGGGATACCATGGTCCTTGAACCAGGTGCTGGTGGTTTTGGCACTGTGTGCAGGTGCCAAGTCCTGTTGAAAGGTGAAGTCTGCATCCCCATAAAGTTGGTCAGCAGCAGGAAGCATGAAGTGCTCTAAAACTTCCTGGTAGACGGCTGCATTGACCCTGGACCTCAGGAAACAGAGTGGGCCAACACCGGCAGATGACATGGCACCCCACACCATCACTGACGGTGGAAACTTTACACTGGACCTCATGCAACGTGGATTCTGTGCTTCTCCGCTCTTCCTCCAGACTCTGGGTCCTTGATTTCCAAAGGAAATGCAGAACTTGCTTTCATCAGAAAACATAACTTTGGACCACTCAGCATCAGTCCAGTCCTTTTTGTCCTTGGCCCAGGCGAGACGCTTCTTGCGCTGTTTCTTGTTCAAGAGTGGCTTGACACACGGAATGCGACACCTGAATCCCATGTCTTTCATGAGTCTCCTCGTGGTGGTTCTTGAAGCGCTGACTCCAGCTGCAGTCCACTCTTTGTGGATCTCCCCCACATTTTTGAATGGGTTTGTCGTCACAATTCTCTGCAGGGTGCGGTTATCCCTAGAGCTTGTACACTTTTTTCTACCACATTTTTTCCGTCCCTTCGCCTGTCTGTTAATGTGCTTGGACACAGAGCTCTGCGAACAGCCAGCTTCTTTAGCAATCACCTTTTGTGTCTTGCCCTCCTTGTGCAAGGTGTCAATGATTGTCTTTTGGACAGCTGTTAAGTCAGAAGTCTTCCCCATGATTGTGGTGCCTTCAAAACAAGACTGAGGGACCTTTTAAAGGCCTTTGCAGGTGTTTTGAGTAAATCAGCTGATTAGAGTGGCAGCAGGTGTCTTCTATATTCAGCCTTTTCAGAATATTCTAATTTTTTGAGATACCAAATTTGGAGTTTTCATTAGTTGTCACTTATGAATATCAAATTTAAATGTAATGAACATTGGAAATACATTGGTCTGTGTGCATTGCATGAATATAATGTACAAGTTTCACGTTTTGAATGGAATTACTGAAATATTTTCAACCTTTTGATGATATTCTAATTTACTGGCCAGCACCTGTATACCTTATTGCTGCATGTTACTGTTCCAAGATTAAGTTTACATTTTTATTATTTGGTCTTTTTTAGGCTATCAGCAGCTGCAGATGGAAGGCCTGTTACTGGCCACAGACTGTTTTCTTGAACATTTCTTTTTCAGAAGTTCCTGCACAAGTAAATTTGTTGTAAAAGTTATATATTGCAGGTGACAGTGGCACCGAGAAGCTCCGTTTTTTTCCAATTTTGTGTGTTGACTAGAATTTTGATGAGCTCTCGAGTGTGTGTGTGTGTGTGTGGGGGGGGGGGGGATATTTCATGTTTTAAATTCTGGTGGTGGCATATTTTGTTTGCCCAAAAAGCAAACATCCAGCAGCAGAGGACGTCTCTGCATTAGTTGGAAACAAGACATGCCCACTTTTGAAATCTACCCTGCAGCAAGACCCTTTGTCCTCCTCTCGCGTTTAAAGGAAAGATTAGGAGAAGAAGGAAAAGAAACAGAATTATTTTCCTCCACCAAAAAGTCCACATTAGACGGATGATCCAAATGTATCACTTTTCTTAGTTTCTCCAAGTGAAACAGGCTGCAGGATCTAAAGCAGGGCTCACCAACCATGTGCCCGCAGCGTCTTGTCCAATCACAAGCTTTCGACAGATGTTTAAAATTTAGGGCATGTTTCCGTAACCCTCTTTGAGCCCGTCTGAGTGCTCTTGAGCGACACATAATGGCGTTGCATGTCTCCCCACCAATGCAGATGGAGAAGTATAAATCAGGCTTAGTCCAAAACCAGTTCCACAGAGAGTTGCCTCTTCATTTTACTCCTTGGTTGCCACAGAATTGAAATGACCCGATAATCAGACAGTGAAGCGTTTGATGTTGCCTGGGCTCCAAAATGGTCTGATGAAACTTTAATATTGTTTGAAGCTTCTAGCTTGTTGTTCTTGAAGGTGAGAGCCCAGATTCCTGACAGGATTTCCCTGCTTTAATTATCCATAAACAGGTGCAGGTTGAATTCCCCAACCTACATAACTGTCACACAGCTAGATGTTCTGTTTAATGTAAGTAATGTATTTCTATTGTTTCTGTTCTTGCTGTTTTTTTAGTTCTCTACTAAGACAGCTGAAGCAGACACTTCCAGTGAATTGGCGAAAAAAAGTAAAGAGACATTTCGGAAAGAGGTGAACCTACCAACGCTTCCAAATATCTACACATTATTTTAATGAGCGGAAGCTTTATTTTTGCTTTTTTTTATACTCTGTTAATTAGATGTCCCAGTTCATAGTGCAGTGCCTGAATCCTTATCGGAAGCCCGACTGCAAATCTGGTCGCATCAGTAACACTGAGGATTTCAAACACCTGGCGAGAAAGGTAAAAGGAAAAGTCAATGTTGGTACAAAAGAATCTTGTGGTACTTTAAAGCTTTTCCGTTTGATCACAGCAAACAGAAGTTTTTGATGAGTCTCTCAAGCCTCTAAACTCTAAATAGTTTGGCTTATATTTTGGTTTTCTGGCTCAGTATTACATTGAACATGTAAACTGTCATCTCTGTCCGTTTCAATTCCATTAACAAAAATTCTGCATGGATGAAGTACATTTGGGTTGGTTTTCCACCCACACACACCAAAATTCTTGAGGACCTTTTTGCAGTAGACCAACATTTAGAGAGCATTTCATTGTCTCAAATTATAAGAGCCAAATACACTACCAGAGATTAACCATTCCACCACATCGCCGCAGCTCATGGTATCAGCTGTGTAATTTATCAGTCTGGTGAGCATAAACCTTCCTGCCTCTCTCATCTGTGTCACAGCTAACGCACGGAGTCATGAATAAGGAGCTGAAGGCTTGCAAGAACCCTGAGGACCTTGAGTGCAATGAGAATGTTAAGCACAAGACCAAGGAGTACATCAAAAAGTACATGCAGAGATTTGGCTCCATGTACAAGCCCAAGGAGGACACGGAGGTGTACTGACAGGTCCAGAACGTTCTCGATTCCTCACACAAGGAATAGAACAGATCTGCCTTCCGATTCACTCCTACATGTTTGTTCTGGCCAGCCTAAACAGTGAAGCAGTTGTATTTTTAAAATGTTTTATTATTTATGTGGAAGAATTGCGTTGCGTTGCGTTGCGTCAGGTCTCTACAGACACAGACTCCACAGAGGTGCAGTTTTTGCAAAGGATGACACTGTTAAGGGCTACAGAGACAAGCGTCTTCACAGGATGTCTTGTTTTTCATTTATCAGAGACTCTTAGATGTTCAACTCTTCTCACTGCAAATGAGGATTATTAAATGATTCATTTGTTGTTTTTTATTTATTATCTTTCACCTGTTTAAAAATGGTCCAGTTCTCGAGCTTATTTCCTTCCCCCCACAAAAATCTCCTTCCAATGACTTAAATATCTGGTGCTGCTCTTAACTGAGTCGCTTCCTTTCTTTTCTTTTTCTCACCACAAGACGTTGAATTCTCTCTCTTTTTTATTAATATGAATGCATGGTATGAGCTGAAGTCTGAGTGATATCTGCATGAAAAATCTATTTTCCATGTTTCCTCACTGGGATTTACTTTTTACACAGTAAACTGAGGGCTTAGCTGTGGACAAGTTGGACAAGTGGTCAGTGATCAGTACATTTTTCTTCTTTTAGTCAATTTGAAATGAAATAACTATAGGGTTTGAAATTCATTGATCATTTTTGCGTGTATGTTGCCTTTCCAAACCCAGCTTGTTCCTCGTAGTGATGATACAAGAGTGAACATTTTAGCTTGTGTGTTCTGGGGTTTTTTTATTACTGTTAGCTCTAATTCTGGAGATCCTCTGGTTACTTCTCAAACTCGATAACGTTCCAAGATTTTTACAATAATGTTTTAAGCATTAGCTCACAGATTTTTTTCAGTCTCATTAAGTTGCATTAAACAAATATATGTATATTGATTTATTTGTGAATATACTGAATATTATTAGTTTTGGGGATGTTTAAATAAACAGACTTGGTAAAAGGACTATAGTTTCATGATTATAGTTTAAATAATTTGTAAAAAATAAAAAAAAGTCTTAAGCTGCATGAAGGAGAGAAAATCCAGGGTGAGTTCACCCTTCCTCACCAGCTCAGTCCTCCTGATGCAGTTGTCACATTAGATTGTCAAACTTACTTTATCTGTTGTTTTGTCTTTTTAATCCATTGTTTCCTGTGTACAAAGTAACAACCTCCTATGCTGTAAGTATTGTGTAAGCACATTGTCATACTGAGTGTACAAACATTTTAGAATACAATAAAACATTTTTTGTAAAAATGTGTCCATTCCTTTGCTGCATGGTTTAGTCTGTCTCTGCAATTATTTGACTATTTTGCATTGATATGAGGCCCGAGTGCACACCCAGTCCTTTTTATACCACTTCCTGTGATGCTCACGGCACAGTCCCAAGTCAGATGTTTGACCCCTCTAGAAAAGGTGACAGTTGAGCAGGGTTGATGGTTTATTCCTTGAGATCCTCATGGTAGGGGTGAGGTGGTTCTCACTCCTCACCCCGTCGCGTGGATGGGAAGGTTGAAAGCATTCATTTGGGGTTTTTAATAGGAAATAACACAGTGGCCTTTAAAGGAATTTTGGACCTACGCTACACTGGAAAGAAGTAAATTTTTAAAAAGCATGGGACCACTGGATCGGCAACTCTGACATTCCTCTGTTCTGTGACTTTCCAGCTCCTGGACAATGCCAGTCCAGAAAGGATGTCTTTTCTGAATGAGAAATACCTGGGAAACCCTCAGGATATTGTAAAAAGCAATATTGTGTTGTACAGATGAACACTTGCAAAACAAAGCAAGGCTGCAACAAGAGAGCAAATCATTTCTACAAAGCAAACTTTGCAAACAGTAAACCCTTCAATCAAATCGAGTTATTTGTGTGCATAAAAAACCTGACAAAGTATCATTGTGTCTTTTGCTTTAGCAACGATTTTGTTAAAAAAAAAAAAGCTACCTAGCAAAAATGTGTTCAAAGTTCTTAAGTGTTATTTAAACAGCAAAAACAAGCAAATCTAACAATTTAAGAGAGCAAATAATTCCTACAAAACTAATCACAGCATGTAAACTCTTCTACTGAATCCTCGTAAGTTCTTTTTTACAGTGCATAAAAAACCTGACAAACAGGAAGTCTCTATGTTGGACAACTGGAGCCTCATTGACTGACATTCGTAGTGGTGAGTATATCACATTGTTTTCCAATAGCATGCAGAAACAGTTAAAAAAAACAATCATAGATTCCTCCCAATGGCTGAATTCTGTTTACGGACCGTGGTGAGACTAATTATTCACTTACAATGGCTTGCCAGGCTAGCCTTTGGCAACATATTTTATTTTTTGAAATTCACCTGTTAACATCGGCTGCAAAACAAAGGTAATTGTTTAGTTGTAATGTAGAAAGACTAGAAATGTAAGCGGGTGGAGGTACGCCTTTACGTATTATTTGTAATTTACCTACAGTAATATTTAAAATGGCACCTGTTTTTGGTTTAGACATGGTCATTGATGAATATAAATGGACAGTGTTCCCTTGCCCGGGTCACCTGGGCCCCCCTCTGGAGCCAGGCCTGGAGGTGGGGCACACTGACGAGCGCCTGGTGGCCAAGCATAGCACAGTCCAAGAAGGAACGTGGGTCCTCCGGACCCCACGTGACTCTCAGTTAGTAGACGCCATTTTGGCAGGAAAAAAAGGTTAAACAAACACAGATCGTAAACATGAACGTAATCGGCTTGGATTTTACTCCGTCGGAGTTTACTTCACACTTTAAAACCGAAGAAATCATTTTATATAGTCAGAAATTAAATAGACTAAACATCTACAACCCTTACCGTGCCCCTGGAATACTTTTTTAAAATGCCAGAAGCTGTCGGAGCGGACTTCTTACCGGACCTGGCCGGGGAACCCCTTGGGATTTCCCCGGAGGAGCTGGCCCTAGTGGCTGGGGAGAGGGAAGTCTGGGCCTCTCAACGCTACTGCCCCCGTAACCCGACTCCGGATAAGCGGATGAAAATGGATGGACAAATAACAGATTTACATGTAAGTAGTTTAAATAGAGTGCTGTGCTGTTTGAATGTATAAACTGAACGCCAAGAGAAATCACTAGTCTGATTTTATTTTCCGTGAATAAAATAAATATGTCAGGCAGGAGCGTCTCAGGATCTGTCTGAGATCTGTCTCGGTGAGACAGATGTAACGTGAGGAAGTATGGTTTCTGTGCCAAAGGTCGTATTTGCCCTTCTGGGTCAAAGCTGGGTCACGCAGCACCTTCACCCACAGATTAAGACCTAAGCCGCCAGCAAGTCTGAAAGACTCCACAACATCCAACACCTGTTCTCCAGAGGAAGGACTTCACTGATTATCTAGTCATAATAAAACAGTCTTAAGCTTTCCTTTCTTTATTAATGTTAAATAATCATTTGATCACTTTGCTCATTATAAATGTATTTTAATCAAATGAATGATTATTATGCTTTGGGTAATCATAATGAACTATAATGAATCAGTATACTTCATTAAATAATGTTTTTGAAGATGTTTAGCAATGACCTTCACACATGCTCATACAGGTCCGACTCCACAGTAACTCCAAAACACATTTGCTCTGACGCACAAAAGGTTTGCTTTGGGAAGAGAAGTGTTTTGGGTAAGTTAGTCAGAACGAGAGTGAGAACGGAAGAGAGCGGACGTGCGGAACGAACACCACGGGGAAAGGAGCCCTGATGCTCCTTTTCTTCTCCACGCTATTTCTGTCAAGCCAGACAGAATAGCTGAAATGCAACCAGCTAACGCAGACTCGTCCCAGAGTCTTTTGATTTCTGAGTTAATTTAAACTTGAGAAAGCGAATCTGCCGAAACGCTTCAGCAACGTGTACCGAGGTCAACTCTGGACTGGACCGTCAGCACACCTTCGTCTTCTCTGTCAGCCAAGGTGTCATCTGGAGAAACATCCTCCTGTGAGGTCCGGATCTAAAAGAGGGTCCTAAGTGCGGTGAGGCAGAACACGATAGATAGCGTTCTGATGCTGTTTTTCTAATAAGAACTAAAGTTTAATTGCAAAACATTTTTCACTCAGACACCTTTTCTCTCCCTGAAGCAATCTCAGACACATGCAGGCATTCATAATTCCATCATCCTCAAATCTTAGCACATCCAACACAAGGTCTATTTGTGCAAGCTTAAAATATCAACTGTTAAAGATTGTCCAACAAGGTTGCCAATGTTGATTGTTTTTCCTATGATTGTCATTTCAAATCGTTAGTTTAAATTGAAGAATTAAAACTCTTAAAATTTAAACTTGCCTTTTCATTGAACTGAAACACAGACAAACGGATATGATCGTCAGTTTATCGATGAAAACAACCTTTGAGTCTTCTTATCTCTATAACATTTGGTTATTAATTTGTTAAAATTAATATTCCAGATTATTATGTAGAATGGTTTATCTTTCATAAAAAGAGCCAACAACCATTACGCTACACAGATAATAGCAATCCAAAGTGCTTTTTTATGTGTGATCTGACAATTGATCAACCATTGCTTAAAAGTGAAATACAGCTTAGCCGGTTAATTGCTGTGATCATAAAACACGTAAACGGCAGCACGCAGAACTCGAGGCAACGTTTTACATGATGTTTACTTGTTGCTATGAGTAATAAGACAGAAAAAGCCACGCCAAAATAAGTTTAGAAAGCCCACTAAGAATCGTAATAAAAGCATTTAAAATAAATACCATACACAGTTGAGGAAACGTTGGTTTAAGTACCTGATATGAAGCGGTCGCTGCATAAGCAAAAACCTTTACTCTCGGGATCCCACAGCTTCATTTTATCCCGGTCTCTAGTGCGTTTTATTATAATGATCCAATCAATCAATCAAAGCTTTATTTATAAAGTGCCTTCCGCAACCCTGTCAGAAAGCCCAAAGCGCTGAACATGGTTCAATTGAAGGTAAATATATTGAATAAATCAAAAATAAAAGCAATTCAAATTACAAAATACAAATTACAAAATAGATGAAACATTCTGGTACAGGACAAATGTGTAAAACAATGGATTGAGTGAACCAATGAAAACTGTGGAAGAAATTCAACATAAAAGAGGGCCAAAATCAAACATGTTCTGGAAACGCCAAGCGGAGGAGGTGTGTTTTTAGGCGACTCTTAAAGACTGGCAGAGATGGGGACAGCCTAACTGAGGGTGGCAACTGGTTCCAGAGTGACGGTGATAGGATTGAGAAAGCCCGGTCCCCGCGAGTACGACACCTAGAACGAGGGACAACGAGCAGGCCTTGGTCAGAGGAGCGCAGAGCACGTGATGGGGAGTGTCTGTTCAGGAGTGTGGCTACCCAGATAGCAAACGGACTCCAGACTGGATCCGTCCTGGAGGTACCGTAAGCTTTGGAACGGATCAGCAAAACGGACCCGTATCGGAGTCCACTTGCTCTCCGGAAAAGATCCGGAACGGATCATGATCCCGGATCCGGATCACATGCGGTGAGGAGTCTGTCCGGATCAACTCCTTTGGCACATCATCCGATCCGGGTCCGTTTTGGACCCGTGCATAAAACTCACCGTCCAGTCAGGATCCGTTTTGGACCCGGGCATCACCAGATTCGCCTTTGTGTGCGCTTTCATAAAGAAAATAATCCAGCCTGTTTTTTTTTTTTTAAATAATTGGAATTTCTTAATGTTTAATTAGTAAATGAAAACATGCAGTAGCTGAGAGGTCTTTACAGAAAATAAGAGCTTTGGAGTAAATGATTTAAAATTATCTGTCACACCACACTTATCATTTATGTTAAAGGAAATACACACCCAAACCATAAAAGTATTTTGATAAATTTTTATTTGTAGTAATACAAACTGTATAAAAAAACTGTTACATGTGCAAGCAAAGTATAACAATAGTAACACAAACAGTATTAATAAATTGTGTTACCAGACTGTAATTTTTGTTAAAAAGATGAATGCTGGGTTGAACTTCTTGTGTACCACTACGTCGCCTTGAGCTGTCTCGATCTGCTGCCAAGTTAAACCAGCGGATAGCATGTTTACAAATGTCGTGGTCAGTGGAAGCGCAGGAGATGGAATTTTTTCTCACAGAATCTGCAATCACAAAAGCAGATTTAAATGTTAATCATCATCCACCACCACAATTTTCTATTGCAACAGGACAATCTCCACTAATATCATCTTTCTGTAAGCAGAAAATAATTTGTCAACTAAAGCTCTCAATACTATTTCTTCTTTTATTAGACCAGCTTTAGAAGTAGCTCTACAAGTTTATATTGACGCTGTGTAGCGTTCATAAGAAGTGAAACGCTGGAAACAATACCTCAGTGTGTGAATAGCAAAGGTATTAACTGGCTAGTAGCAAGAGCTGTCGTAGTGGAGCACATATTGTTGACCCAGAAAAATGTGTGAACATTTTAAAATGGGTACTTACGCAGGAGCAGTGTTTTTGATGCCATCTGGTTGAAAGACGTCTTCCCATTGACACCTTTCCAGTTAATCTGCTTTCCAACATCATCATGGAAAATGTGTGCCAGGATGTTCCACGTTATACATTTTGTGTCATGGCCCCCAATAGCTGCCAGCGAGGAAATCTAAAATGGAACAAACAAAAAATAATGAAATCATACATTAAAATAAAAAAACACTATAAGCCCAGGGTGGATAACCCCAGTCGTCAGGTGACATCAACCGACCCTTTCACAGAGCATAGATTGCATACAGTGCAAACAAACAAAACTCACCAACTTCTGCTTCAGCTGGGAATGTGCAGCATCTTTGAGCCAGTTCTCAAAAGTGTTCACTTCCTCCACTGAAGTTAATGGCAACTGGACCGGAATCTGCACCTCCATTTCCTGGGGAGTTGCATCCAGCTTGCTGGTTAAATAATTAACCTTGGCTTCTAGTTGCTCCATCTGTTTTTTTAGATGCTCCAGCAAGTCCAAAATCTGGGCTTCTGTGGCTGTTGGGAAGAATAATAGAAAATATACATCCATCAATTTTATCAGATTGGAAAACATTATGTAGCAGATAAACTTTATATTTTATATCATAATTTTTTTTTTAAGTAATTCAAACCAAAAAAAAAAAAACTCACCAGAGCAGGGAAGGGTGCCCGAGTCAAACCTTCTCCCTCGCCAGGCAGGTGTGTGCACCTGGCTTGCAGAGAAGGTTTGTTGTTGGCATGGTGGTGGTTCGACAGCAGGAGATGGTGGTGGCGGGATAGCAGGAGCTGGTGGCTGTATAGATGTTTTGGATTGGCTTCTGGATTTCTTTCTTGGATGTTCGTCTTCACTATCATCAGAATCCCCCAAGAAATGACTATATATTGGCCAGGGAAATAACACTCAGTTGTCATGGTACTATCATTTCCATAATCATTAAGTAGTTCTTTAAGTCAGTTTTTTATACTAGGTATTGTCTTCTCGGACATAGAAACTTGGATAAATGTTCCATACACAACATTTGCATGCATGCTTCATTTAAAATTCACAGGAAAATACAGAAAGATGCTTACATCGCCTTTGGCTTCCTCTTGGGTCGCACGTCCTCTTCCTCCTCCTCTGTCTGCAGGTCGGAAGTGTGGCATGACAGCGACTTATTTAGTTGTTGTCTTGCCTCGAAGTACTGATCTAAAATTTGGCAAAACAAATTTTTCAGATAATTGAAAGATTGAAGTCATAATTACTATATAAAAAATATATATAATAAGTAGCTTACCACTTGATTTAAGAATTCGGACATCATATGTTTCCCAGTCAGGTCCCGGCTCCTCTGCGTTTTTTACTGCCCGGTTCACCCTTGCACCACACAGTGGTTTGATTCTACTCCAACTGGTCATCTCAGAACAAAGAGCAGACAAACAGGCGCCAAAATTAACATTTTCACTCACAACCCCCAACGTCGATCCTGTTTACTTGTGTGTGTGTGTGTGTGTGTGTGTGTGTGTGTGTGTGTGTGTGTGTGTGTGTGTGTGAAACCTTCCAGCGCCCCACCCCATATCTTATCCTTAAGGCCACCTAAAATATCCTTGATAAAATGATTAATTTGTTTTAGAGCCCTTTATGTGGAATATTGGAGAAAATTGTACACTCGTTAACACGTAGCTAGTGATGTGGAATTGTCATTCACCCCCTAGCTCTAAAGGTTTATCTTAGCACTTTGTTTACTTCGAATAAGATTGATTTTTGTGCGCTTTATAAGGCCTTTATGCTTTCAGCTTTGCATACACAATCGTTAATCGCCTGGAAACCCAAACAAAAGCAAAAGTTCCCGATACAGTACTGCAACTATGGTTAGCATGTTGCTGTAGTTAGCATCTGCATCTCTCAGAGTGCTCAGTTAAACAGAGGTTACGTTTTAAAAGTGTAAATACACTTTGTCTATCGGAAAAAGAAAACTTGTTACCCTCAAAAACATGTAACTTACCGAAAAAGATTTGTAAACCCAACGTCGTTGCTTCGTCCTTTGTTATCCACAACTTGCTTTCTCACGTGTTACCTGATCTGAATTCCTTCTCTTTATTGCGGTCGGCAAAATATGCGCGCGCAACTGGGTCACCTCCCACCGCATCGATCTGCATCCGCAAACGCGCTGCCTCCTGAAGACAGCATCCAGTCAGGCTCCATGTCGGAATCATAGAACGGATGTGACTGAACGCGGATGTCCCGGTCTGGATCCGGATCCAGACAGGAGTCATAAAGCGGATGTGACTGAAACGCGGATGTACCGGTCTGGATCTGGATCCAGACAGGAGTCAGCTGCTGTCTGGGTAGATAGGGGGGAGCACCACCCTGGAAGAAATTGTAAACAAAGACGAGGATTTTTAATTGTGAGCGAAAGCAAAGCGGAAGCCAGTGCAGGGAGGCCAGAACCGGACTGATGTGGTCCCGTTTCCTGGTCCATGTCAGGAACCTGGCAGCGCTGTTCTGCACAACCTGTAGGCGACGCAGTGATGACTGACACAACCCTGCATATAGAGAGTTGCAGTAGTCAAGCCTACAAATAACAAAAGCATGCAGTTCCCGCTCCAGGTGGGCTCTCGACAGTATGGGCTTGATTTTTGCAAGGCGTCTCTGGTGAAAGAAACTGGACCGGATCACAGAATTGATGTGAGAATCAAATTTAAGTCCAGCATCAAGTTTCACCCCCAAACTGGTAACAACTGGTTTTGAGTAGGGAGAAAGAGGGCCAAAATCAACATAATGATCCACATTCCTGCTGTTGGGGTGAAAAACAATGAGCTCTGTCGTTCCCTCATTCAGATGTAGAACGTTGGCCATTAGCCAAGACTTCACCTCGTTAATACAGGACACAAAGGACTGGATAGAGTGACCTTTCTCCTGACACAATGGAGAGTAAATCTGGCAATCGTCAGCATAGAGATGGAATGATAGGCCATGTTTACGAAAGATTGACCCCAGAGGTAGCAGATAAATGGCAAACAAAAGAGGACCAAGGACCAATCCCTGTGGGACCCCCCAGGGGAGCCCCTCCCAAGATGACAAAACATCACCCAGTTTAACGCAGAATGTCCTGTTGTGGAGATACGATCTAAACCAATCTAGAGCAGACCCTTTGATCCCAACCCATCGTTCCAAGCGATCCAGTAGAATCGCGTGGTCAACTGTGTCAAAGGCTGCTGTCAGGTCTAACAACAGAAGCACCACAGATGTACCCTGATCTAGTGATAGATAGATGTCATTTAGGACCCTCAGTAGAGCCGACTCTGTGCTATGGCCAGACCTGAACCCTGATTGGAAAACCTCAAACAGATCAGAGTCAGCTAAATGTGAGACCAGCTGCTGATAAACGACTTTCTCAAGCAGTTTTGATGTAAAGGGCAGGGTAGAGATAGGCCTGTAATTTTCTATCACAGAGACATCAGCACCAGGTTTCTTCAGGTTCGGCCGAATAACTGCTGCTTTCAAAGCAGCTGGGACCACACCTGTGCTGAGGCTCCCATTGATAATCTGATCAAGTGAAGGGCCAAGGCACGGAAAGGCAGCCTTCCAGAGGTGAGGCGGCAGAACATCAAGTGGAGAGCCAGATGGCTTCTGCCTCGCAACAAGCTTACTCAGCTCAGAGTATGAAACAGTATTGAGGGAGCTCAGGGTGGGTGGTGATGGAGGAACTGGAACAGTGTCAATAAAGTTACCAGAAATAGCTGCTCTAATGCCTGACACTTTATCAACAAAGAATCTGTGAAAAGCTTCAGAGTTTCCAGCAGCTGTAGGAGACATGGAGCTAGGCTCCTGATACACCAGAACAGAGTTTAGTGTTTTGTAGAGAATCCTGGGTTTCTTGGAGTTTGTTTCGATGATGTCTGCAAAATAGGCCGTTCTGGCATCCCTCACAGCATCCTGATAAGCAACCAGAGATGCTCTGAACAACTCACGCGAGACCTGTAGGCCATCCTTTTTCCACTTTCTCTCAGAGGATCTACACGCCCGCCTACAAGCCCGTGTGACATCAGAGAGCCAGGGCTCCCTCCTAGGTCTAGACTTGCAAAGCTTGAGAGGGGCAACCACATCCAGGACATGATTACAAAGTAAATCAAAGTGTTGTGAATAGTGTTCAGTGTTAGATGGATCTGGGTTAAAGGTCTCTAGCCTTACAGACATACAGTCCACAAACTTTGAAATAGTTTCTGCATCCAGGGCTCTGAACCTAGTAGCTGGAGCTTCACACACAGGGACAGGACATGGCAACGTAACATCACATAGTATAGGAGAGTGGTCAGAGAACACAGGAGGCAAAGTCACACGGTTCATGACAGGGAGACCAAAAGAGAGAACAGGTCCAGGGTGTGACCCCTGGCATGAGTTGGGGACGATACCCATTGAGTCAAATTGAATGAATCTAGCAAATTCAAAAAGCCTTTAGCAAGCACATTGTCAGAACAGCAGATATGGATGTTAAAATCACCAAAAAATAGGAAGGACATAGTCATATTTTAGGATGCAGTCTGCCACAAGATCACTGAAATCATTAAGGAAGATAGAGTCAGTCTATGGAGGCCGATAAATCAGCACGACGAGCAGGCGGGGGGAGATGCACAGTTCAAATAAGCACAGTTCAAAGGAAGAAGATGACATGGTGGGTGTAAGCTGTTTACAAGGAAAGCTGGATTTAAAGACAGCAACCAGCCCTCCACCTCTGCCCAATGATCTGGGGATATTAAAGCAGGAGCAGCCAGGTGGTACCAGCTCCAGCAGGGCGCTCGAGTCACCAAACGGGATCCATGACTCACAGATGCAGAGAAAACCCAAGTCATGCTGAATAAAAAAGTCACAAAGAATAAAAGTTTTGTTCAGCACAGACCTGGCATTGACTAGACCAAACCGGGTCTGCGGCGGGGCTGCGGCACCAAGATCGCTCACGGGCCCAATCCCCTCTAACTCTGTGCCTGTAACCGAGCGCAGATCCTCCCAGCAAACCCCAGTCTGGCGAGGTCTTCGAGCCGATTGGCCATGGCGCGGTGCCAGTTCACTCTCAGGGCCGGCCAAGTTCCCTAGGCAGGGCGCAGAGTAATCCGAAAGACATCTCGGAACCACCGGGTCAGAAGCTGTGCCGAATCGGACCAGCCGCTTCTTCAGGGATCCAGCCCAACGTCTCACGCGCTGGCTACCTCTTTCCCTGTCTTCTCCGATGCTTCCTTCTCGAGCTGGGGCGGACAGAGGGCCGACACATCACGGCTTGGGGGGAGAGAGCACATGGGCAGTCCAACCAGCAGCGCCATCCGTGAGGTTCCCAGCTCGAGCAACCCGCTACATCAACGGGAGGACGAATCCTCAGCAGCGCAGCTCGATCGTATGTCACCAGGGAATCCACACCATTCAAAAAAGTCATCAGAGACAACAAAAATGCATAAAAGCCAATAAAATGCCAATAAAAGCCAGTAAAAAGCAAGGTACCACTGCATAAAGAGGACAAGCAGCTCGCAGCGTGCACCCGCGCGAGCGCCATCTCACTCTGATCCAACATTTGCGGCGCTCCGGATCTTGGGCAATCCTGTAGATGGCTCATTCCTTATGTCGTCCGCGTCTGTTCTGCATCCTGGGGCACAACAGGGATCTACCATATTTCCCGTTTGATTGAGTTTTCTGACAATAACAAATAGTCCAGCTGCAGGCTTCTGCCTGCCAAAATGGCGCCGTTTCGATTTGAACTGTTGCATGCCGGGAGAAGTGACGTCAACTCCCGGAGCTCTATGGGCTCACCACTTGTGAGAGGGGCCAGATGGGTTTTGTGCAATGTGTGATGGGTGGTAGCCGAAGGCAGGGACCTTGGCAGTCTGATCCTCAGCTACAGAAGCTGGCTCTCGGTACGTGAAATGTTACTTCCCTGGTGAGGAAAGAGACTCAGTTGGTGTGTGAGGTTGAGAAGTTTCAACTAGAAATAGTCAAACTCACCTCGACGCTCAGGAACCAGTTTTCTTGCTAGGGGTTAGACACTCTACCACTCTGCAGTTGCCCCCCCCACTGAGAGGCGCCGAGCAGAGGTTACAGCTGTTACAGTATGTTACAGCTGTTGCTGTTTTGTCCCAGAAAGCTGACTCCGCAGAGGACAATCAGTGCATTGCCTCCTCCTCCTCCTACCTGCACAGCTGCACACACTTGGGCTGATCACCTCCTGAGTAGCATAAAAGGCAGAGCTGCCAGGAGGAAGAAGAGAGAGACTGGATCTGTGCCAGTTCTCTCATGTACTCCATTTATTGGTGTTTTAATGGCTTTTAAATGGGTTTTAGTTCTTTAAGCTTAGTGAAGCTTAAGAGCTTTTAGAGGTTTTTAACAGACGAGGGACCAGAGTGCTGGTTTCCTCTTGGCTCCCAAACTTGTGTGTTAGTCAGTGGAC